CTAGCAAGCAGTAGATATATGCAAAAACATAAAGGTTAAAAGGGTTAAAACTTTTAACCCTTTTAGCTTGCGGTATACTGAGCTTAGGGTGACCGGAGGATGCTAGTGTCCTCCCGTTACCCTTAGGAGAACTATGGGGAAAAGCCCTGACCCCATAGTTCTCCTTTTTAATAATGTGCTTTTAAAGGAGAACTATGAGGTGAGTGATTTCCACTCATCCTCATAGTTAGCCGACTTGTGACCTAGAGCAGACTTGTGACAGCTTCTATCGATCGCGAAGTGAGCAGAAACATGCAGCCGATCCGCTCCACCGATCATCTACCTGCAGAGAGAGGTGACTGTCAGTTCCCCGCAGGGATTCCCCCCTCGCCTATCTGATCCTCCAGCACTGAGTGGAGGAATAGATGGGGGAGGGGGCGGGCACAGCTGGCTCTGCCTCTAGATGGGCAGAGCCAGCTGTCAATCACACAGCTGGGTGGATGCAGACAGTATTGTCCGGAACCGTCCCGGCTCCGACGCTCTCGGTATATCGCAGGCCATACCCTGCAATAAATAAATCACCGGCGCCAAAAAACAATATCTGCTCCTGATAATGTCTCCATAGGCACGGGGGCAGCTCCTCAGTCAGGGAAACCGATGTGTAGTAAAAATGAAGCACAAGGAGCGCATCCATAGTGTAACACTGATTTATTGTAAATAAAAAAGCCAGCTAAAAATGTACTTCCAAACCAGCCATTAAAAACAACCATTGAAAGATAGGATCTCTGAATGACATCAAGATGGATAAACGAAATATCGGTAGGTAATGAAGGTGCTAAACTGAAGCCATCTGCACGCTGACCCTCCTTCAGTTGACGCGTTTCAGAGGCCAAGCCTCTTTCATCAGAACCCATAGCCAGCGATATACTGAGCTTTGGGTCACGGCAGGAGGTTAGTATAAACTGAGTTGCCAAATTATTATGACCACCCCATCTGTACTTCGTTGGGCCACCTGGCTGTATCCCAATGGATACACGTGGCAAATACGCCCCAAAGAAGCTCCTGTACTTCTTTTGGCATAGGGCGTTTTGCAGCGCGTTCCTACGCGCTGTAAAAGACCCAGGTGGGAGCCATGACCATAGGCAATCACTGGTTTTCACATGTCATAGGAACGCGCTGTAAAGCACCCAGGTGTGAACCAAGCCTAACAGCTGCTCTTGAACATTTAACAAATTCTGCTGTTTTGCTGATACTCGCTCCATGGCTCCGAGCGCCTACAATCATCCCACGTTCAAAGGCTGTTAAATCGCGTTGTTTACCCATATCTTCAGAAAAAAATAACTTCTACTGTCGTGGTAAACAACCTGCTTCCCTATTTACAATGGTCTGGCCCTCTAGCAACTTCAGCGTGAAATTATAGCTAATTATAGCTAATTTGCCTACAAACGTCAGGTGGTCATAATAATCTGGCCACTCAGTGTATGTCCTCCCTTGACCCTAAAGAGAACTATGGGGAAAAACACTTACCCCATAGTTCTCTTTTAGAAGTGCTTCTATTCAGTACAAGTGCCAGCCACGCACCCCTGATAACTGAAATGTGGATGGCTAGGGCAGTCGTTTACCAGGTAGGAGCAGGGCCACTCCGGATTATCATATTTTGTCACGTAACTCAGGATGTTGTCTCGGGGCCACTGCTACAGTGCGTCTTCCTCCACTTTATCTCCCCAGTCTGTGGCCTTCTGGTGTATTATGTAATACGGTTGTAAAGTATCTGATGTACTTGATGCTCTTTCTTGCTTATACATGTTCTGGAGAAGAGGTAACGTCCAACAAATAGCTGAAATGTGTTTCCTCTTGTTCAGTGTTGACTTGCATGTTTGTACCATTTACCCTGAAGATATGAAATGCAAAGGCGTTCTTAACCAATTTTATAGAGGGTTCAGCAAGATTTGATTAAACCTACATGACGATGATTTACTCAATAAATATTAAAGGCTGGTGTTTTTTGTTTTTTTTTTACGTTAATGCATTCTCTGTATTGATCAAAAATGCCCAATACCTTTTTGTGTTTCCTGTCCTCCCAACACTTACCAGTACAGTAATACCTTGGTTTACAAGTAACTTGGTTTGAGAGTGTTTTGCAAGACAAGCAAACATTTCTGAAAAATGTTGCCTTGATATACAAGCAATGTCTTGCAATAAGAGCAAAATTTTGTATAAAAACACCACCCGAATAAGGCTGTAGCAGTGCGAGCGATGAGTCTGTTTAAGGACAATGCAATGTCACATTGAATAGATTCCTTGTTAAGGTTTCACGAAATGAAAAAGATTCCATTGAGCCGAGAGATAGCAGTGATTCCGTTAGTGATAGTGAAAGTTGTCCTACACAATAATCCTTCTCTCTTGTCCCCCTCACACCAGCCACGAAGGTAACCGGAAATTGGTTTATTTTTCTTTATATTTTGTACAGTATTATATTACAGTACAGTATTGTAATCATTTTTATATGAATATTTTTGGGTTGTGGAACGAATCATCTGAATTTCCATTATTTCCTATGGGGAAATTCGCTTTGATATACAAGCGCTTTGGATTACAAGCATGCTTCCGGAACGAATTATGCTCGTAAACCAAGGTATTACTGTATCACCGATGTCACCGCCGCCGGTCCCCGAAGTGATCCTCCCTTCCCCAAACTGGTTATGGGTGGAGGATCCTGAGGGCAGAAGAGCCATAGGCTCCTTCTGCCATCAATCACCCTTCAGGGAGGAGAGGAGGGGCATGCCGCAGAGCTGTGTGTCCATGGACGAACACAGCTACTGCGGGCACGGCTGGGAACACGCATGCACAGGTGTCTGTACAGCAGCTGCTTAGTTGATGGAGGCACCTGTGCAAGGGGTGGGGAGGAGAACAGAACAATTTTAAAGAAAAAGAAAATCATTATAAAAAGATGTAAAAATAATTTAAAAAACTAATCTTTAATATCAGTTTAATATTAAAAAGCGCACTTGTATTTTATTGGTGCACAAATTTTAATTCAGGGCACAGTGGGTCCTCAAAGAAATCTAGTTAGAAGTTTGCTTAAAAAGTGTTTCAAAAACTTTGTTTCCAAATAATTTTTTTGTTGTCTTAAGGAGAACTATGGGGTTAGGGCTTTTCCCCATGGTTCTCCTTAGGGTAACTGGAGGACACAAACTAGCGTTCTCCCGTCACCCTAAGCTCAGGCTACTGCGAGCGGTATACTGAGATGCCGCAGTATACCGCGAGCTACAGCTCGCGGTAAACTGAGACGATGCAGCTGAAGCGGATCCCGACTTAAGTCTGAATCCAGCCCTTCCCCTGTCACGGCACAGAGCGGTGACAGGATCGAGAAGTGAGCGAACGCCGGTATGTGTTCGCTCTCCTCCCGATCTACTGAGCCAACCTGTGACAGTCTCATTGTCACAGGTCGGCTAGAACTATGAGGTGAGTGAAAATCACTCGCCTCATAGTTGTCCTTTTAAAACAGTGACAAAGCTTACGGTAAGGCCTGGTTCACACCTGGGCGTTTTACAGCGAGTTGCTACGCGCTGTAAAACGCTCAACATGTGAAAACCAATAATTGCCTATGGGCATGGTTCCCACCTGGGCGTATTCAGCGCGTATTTCAACGCCCTACACCCAAAGAAGTACAGGAGCTTCTTTGGGGCGTATTTGCCGCGCATATCCATTAGGATACAGCCGCATAGCCCTCAGAAACGTGCGTTTGTTGCACGTTTTTTTTCTACCGCAAATCGCGTGGCACGAAATGCGCGGCAAATGCGCATATTCCGTACGCCCAGGTGTGAACCCAGCCTAAAAGCTGAACTCCAGGATAAGCAAATATTGTCTAAATACAAGAAATGTGTATTTTTACTTGAATCTTGGTGTGCATTGTGTATAGCTTCCAGCTCTGTGCAGTAGGAAACTTCACCTCTGTGCAGGAGCTTCCTGTAACAAAGACCAGTCACTGCTGCTCTCTTTCCTTGAACAGGGTAACCAGTCTTTTTGCTACCCCCTCCTGTAGTGTTCTGCAGGCAGCCTGTACTGGTGGGCCTGCTGGGCCCCTCCCACAGCTCTTCTCTCTCTGCACAGGGTATGTGCTGCACATTGATAATGTCACTGGTACTTATACAAGGTAATAACTAGGGATGCACCAATACCGTTTTTTTGGTATCGACTACGAGTACTGATATTTACATTTCGGTACTCGCAGATACCGACTACCTGTACTTCCGGTAGCATGGAGCCGGCTTCCTGGGCAATCGGGAAGCAAGGCAGCGTGTCATTGCCAGACACCCGGCTTCTTGATTGCTCAATGCTGTTTGGCCGGCTATATGCTGATTGGCCGGGAAGCCGGCTTCATGTTTTCTCGCAGCACTGCAGGTCAGAGGAAGTCTCCCTCTGACCGGAAGTACCAGAATAGGGGGTAAGTATCGGTGCATTTGGGCGAGTACTCACCCAAATACTCATTATCTGCACCAATACTAGTATCCGTGCATCCCTAATAACAGGGCTTGCAAAATCAATTGTTGCACACAGTGTATCTTTTGTGGCTATTGAGCAATATATTTAAATTTAGTGTTTTGTGCCAGGAGTTCAGCTTTAATTAGCATGTGAAGATATTGTATGTATAACTGTAATTGTCAGTAATATATTATGTAACTATACAATGGCGCTTTTTGTTCTGGTTTCGGATTGTAGATGTTTGTTTTCAGTTGCTTTTAGTAAAAACGTCTAGCAAGAAGTGCTGGGGTTGGTTCACCTGTATTGTATTAGGAAATGGCAATGTTGGTTAGTTTTATTATGCCATGGTCGATATGTGTGGGCTAGGTCCATGTTTTTATCTTGGAAAAAAGTCTTCTATGTGAATGATATGGCTGAAAGAAAGGAATCAGCAGTATAGACAGTAATATTGTGCTGCCAGGATTGGATAAACCCTGGATTAGTGGTTCAGATTTCTGTATGATGGCTATGTGACCATTCATGTTTCTTTTTTGCAGACCTCTCCCCATCTTTAGATCCTGTGGTGGCACCAAGCACGAGTGACGCAGGGGATACCAGCAGCGGCAGTGGCCATCCAGAGTATGTTGCCTTTATCTTAGTCCCCATTTTTTTCATCATGGGTCTGACGGGAGTTCTGATCTGTCACATTCTCAAGAAGAAAGGATATCGCTGCACTACAGCAGAAGCTGAGGAAGGGGAAAAAATCTCAGCAGAAAAGATAGGTAAGCCACTTTAATCTGCATACAGATCCCCTGGCCTATCATACATTCGTCTTCAGCTTTAATTTACTAATAAACGCATGCTTTGCCGTGTCATGTTTGGACTGCTGGCAGGTTAGATCTTGAAAGGAATCTCGCATTTCTCTTTATAAACTTCATGCATTACAACTGATGTTTTTTTCTTTTTTTGTTCTTAATGCAAGATACTTCACATGCTGTGCAATTGCTGCACATTACTTTAAGGGTTTGTCTACTTTATTTCTCAGCAGTGCCATTTAGACTACATTCACATCTACGCTGTAGGTGCGTTTAGGGATTCCTGCATCAGGAACTTGTGATTTCCTGCAGCAGGAATCCAAAATCTTCCATTTACAAGTGGCAGCTGTTACCTGTTCAAGTTGAACGCTGCACACCGCATGTAATGGTATGTGATACATTTACATGCGGTTAGGTATCAATCACTGTTGCGCACAATGGGTGTGTTTAGGGATAGTGATTGATTCCAACCCGCATGTAATCGCATCCCATGCAGTTACATGTGGCATGCCGGCGTTCTGCCGGTTTCAATTGCAGCCGCTGTCACCCGATCATTATCTTGAAAGGGTGACCGCTGAAAGTGGCAGATTTGGGATTCCTGCTGCAGGAATTCCTAAAGGCACCTACAATGTAGGTATGAATGGCAATGCAACACACACAACGGTAGTGGTCAATGCAGCCACGCTTCAGCCTACTACAACGCATGTGTGCACAGGGTTAGAAAAAAGGGCAATGTAGGTTTTTTTTAACACTGAGATTCATTGAGAGCCCATTCTAAATACAAGGGCTGCCTTTACACAACACACTAGTGGACTGCAGAGGAGAATACATGTTTGTTATGGGCACACAAAACACTGCAACACATTAATTTGAACTACAATTTGTATCCCGTTATGTGTTCAAAAATAGGTACCGTATTCCATTTATTTTACACAGAACTAGCACAAGTATCTTTCTTGATAGCAGCCTGTGCAGGAACACTTGGACTGGGAGGTGAAACTTGTTGGGTCTCTATTGCTTGGCACAATACTGTAAGGCCTTGTGTATACAGGCTTCAGTTGTATATGTACACATTTGCAAAGCTTTTGGTAAGCTTCTAGCTTTGTTAAAGTCTTTAAAGAACTCTTCAGTTCTAGTATAGGAAACTAACAGATCTTGATGTGATTGGTGACTGCCACTTTACACATGCTACTAGTAGGCTATGTAAACTTAGGGAAGCCTGCTAGCAGCTTGTTGGAAGTGACAGTCAACACTCCCATTCTGATCTATGTTTAACTTTCCCAATTTGGAGCTGATTTGTGTGAAGAGAATGCGTTTGGTAACCCTAAATTTTGTGTGCAGAGAATGTGAAAGTCTTTTTGCCGCCCTGATTTATCCAAACTGCACGAGTTGGTAACAAAATGTCAGATTTAATCTTACACTAGAACACAAAGCAGATAGCGTTGGCAGGGAAGTAGAACCATCATAAATCCTATTCAAATATTTCAAGCTAGAAACGGAAAAGGTCATTGTAAATTTCCATTAGCAAAAAGAAAACATTCTATAATTCCTGCTGTGATGGGGTATCTTTTGTAAAAACTGAATATAAGAAATATATATATATAATGATATGTATAAGAAAATAACAATCAGTCAGACACCAAACATACCTAATAATATTACTAGGTTCAGCAGGCGAATGAAACAGACATTTCTTAAAAGGTCAGAATTGCAGAAACACCTGGCAGGAGCTTCCATTTGTTTATGTAAAGGGTTAACTGCGGAGTTAACCGACTCCAGTGATGATTACGCTCAGTCTGCAAATGCTTTGTAATAGCTCAATATTGACACTGTTCTTATAAGCTGAAACCTGTGTGAACTAGGCCTTGGTGTAAAGGTGGCCATACACTCTACAACCATTGCAAGACTTTAGTCTTGCGATGGTTTTAAAGGGATTAAAAAAACGTACGATCTGCCTATCTTGGACAGGCAGATCGCCCTCTCGATCATCGCAAGCCCGCCCTCCTGAGTGGCGGGCTTCCGATGACCGCAATGCTGAACGGGCAGTGTGCGCGTGCACACACCGGCCCGTTCAGCATTTATCTTCCGAGCACCGTTCTAACCAGCCGAGAATCGTACGATTCCCGGCTGGTTTTCGAACATGCTGGTTCGACAAAAGACGTGCGACCGTACAGTAGAACGGTCGCACGTCTCCGTTCACACTGCTCGATTATCGTACGAAAACCCGATCGCATACGATTATCGTACGATAATCGTGCAGTGTATGGGCACCTTTTAGCCTCTGATTTTGCTTACAGGAGAGGAGAACACATTGAGAGGCAGCGGTAAAATACATGCATCAACCCCACCTGGTTTTACCCTTTGGCCATCCGTGTATGAGGCCTTTAGTGATCTATGCATTACATTTGTTGCTGAACAGCATGTGCCATTTAGCTTGCTGACCATAAGAAATCTTGTTTGGCAGCTAGCAGGGATTACTCCTTAATCTAAATGATTTTAAGAAATGAAGTCCTCAGCGTGTTTTAGCTACAGGTCATTTTTTGTGATCAGAACACCAGCACTGATCACATCACATGCTCCAATTCTGTCTGTAAAAACAAGGACAAAGTATAAAAAAAACCTCCTCTCGTTAGACGTTTACCATAGTGGCCGATCATCATTTATAAGCTCACAGTTCATGGAAGTTGGATTAACTGCTGCTGAAAGAATGCTGGAATCCTTCCACTAACACAAACTTTCATTAGCGTGCTCCTCTACAGGTGAATTCTAAAGGTTGTAGACGTATTGTGGTGACTGTGTCATGTACAACCCCAATTCCCAAAAAGTTGGGACACTGTAAAATCTACATACAACCAATGCAATGATCTGCATCTCATAAACACTTTTTTTTTTCCCCAATGGAAAACATATCAAATGTTTAAACAGAGAAAATGTACAATTGTCAGAAAAAAATCAGGTCATTTTGAAATGGATGGCACCAACACGTCTCAAAAAAGTTGGGACAGGGCCATGTTTACCTCGGTGTAGCATCCACTCTTCTTTTAACAACACTCTGTAAACGTCTGGGAGAGGGGAGACCAGATGCTGAGTTTTGGGAGAGGAATGTTCCCATTCTTGCCTGATATAGGATTCTAACTGCTCAACAGTCCTGGGTCCTCTTTGTTGTATTTTCAAGATGCACCACATATTATCAATTGGTAAAAGGTCTAGGCTGCAGGCAGGCCAGTTTAGCACCCGGATTCTTCTGCTATGAAGCCATTCTGTTGTCATAGATGCAGTATGCTGAAGTTTCACCACAGCTGGAGGGCCGCAGTTTGGCTACCCCTGCTCTAAAACCTGGATATATCTTTCAGCATTGACGGTGCCTTTCCAGATGTGCAAGCTGCCCATTCCATATTCACTAATGCACCCCCATACCGTCAGAGATGCAGACTTTTGAGCGCTGATAACAAGCCGGAAGCTCCCTCTCCTCTTTAGTCTGGAGGACGCAGTGCCCAGGGTTTCCAAAAAGAATGTAACATTTTGATTCCTCTGACCACAGAACAGTTTTCCACTTTGCGACAGACAGACATTTTATATGAGCTTTGGCCCAAAGAAAATGGCGACATTTCTGGGCCATGTTCAGATATGGCTTCTACTTCGAATAATAGAGCTTTAACTTGCATATTTGGATGGCATGGTGAACTGTGTTTACAGACAGTGATTTATTTTTGGAAGTATTCCTGAGCCCATGCAGTGATATCCATCACCGAACTATGCCTGCTTTTAATGCAGTGCCATCTGAGGGTCCCGAAGATCAGGGGCATCCAATATTGTGTTTCAGCCTTGTCCCTCGGGCACAGCTTTCTCCATATTCTCTGAATCTTTTGATATTATGTACTGTGGATGATTATATATTTTGAAGTCTTTGCAATTTTACGTCCGTGAACATTATTTTAAAATAGTTTGACAATTTTTAGACGCAGCTTTTCATAGATTGGTGAAGCTCTGCCCATCTTTACAATGGGAGGGAGACACTCTGACTCTCTCAGATGCTCTTTTTCTATACAATCCTGTTGCTGACCTGCTGCCAATTAACCCAATTAGTACTTCCAGCTCCTCCTTGTTAGTACCTCCTTACTTTGCCAGCTTTTTGTTGCCCTGTCCCAACTTTTTTGAGATGTGTTGCTGCCATCAGATTCAAAATGGACTTATTTTTTTTCTTAAAATGGTACATTTTCTCACTTTTACACAATATTTTTAAACAATAACCAAATTTTACTTTTTCTTTGTCCAGAGATGCAAGATGAAGCTGGAGACACGACTAATGACACAGTTGGACATATTGTAAGCTACATCATGAGAAATGAAGGTATGCATCCCTATTCACACCACGAGAGTGCAGAAATAGACTAGTCTCATAATTATAATGATTTACATCTTGTTTTGCTGCATGAATTAGCTTGGTCATTGTAAATGACCCGGCAGTGTTTATATGCTAAGGCTCAACCTCTGTAACCGTCACTTTTGCTGGACAGATTGGTCTACATGTGAATGTAAAAAAAGGAATTTGTGTCCCGAATACGATGTTTACAATTACAGATACTCCTCGCTTAACGACTTACCTGTTTTGCGACCACTCGCACTTACGACCGTCCTCCGAGCGACCACCGATCTCGCGCGTCAGCGCCAGTGCGACGTGTCGCCGGGGGAAGTGACGTCCTCCGTTCTTCACAGCGCGTCCCAGTGAGTATTTTCATTGCCCGATGTACAGTACACTGTTCAGTACTGTACATCGGCAACGCTATACAGTACTGTACTAATGCAGTACAGTACTGTATAGAGTTCCTCACTTAACGACCAATTCGTTTAACGACCTGGTCGTAGGAACGGAACTCGGTCGTTAAGTGAGGAATGCCTGTAGTGTTTTGTAAAATCTGTGTAAAGATTGTGAATCATGACGCCAGGAAGATGTTTTGGTTCGATAAATGCGCAGTCTTTGCTTCTGTTTTAGTAGCATTGTACAGTGACTGTGCTGTACTGCTCTTCTTTTTTAGTGCAAGTCTATGATTCAGGTCTGATTTTACCCAAAGACCATAAATAGGGCCATAACCATCTCGATCTCCCAATCCAGCAGTTTCGGAAAGTAAACTTCTCCTTATTTGCTTCATGTTGGTCTGTTAACATACTATTAAAAGGGTTTTAATCCAGTGAGCTTTCGAATTACTCTGCAATATTATCTCAGACGTTGTAATCAATCCTGCCCTGTTCTCTATGTGGACTGTTTTATGAAGATGAGGACAGCAGGAGGTGTTCTATAGTCCTAGCAGACTTCCTGTCCTAGGGTGACAATACTCCTCCTCTATACTCACAGTACAATAGCCAGTGAGGATTCCCTACCTAAGACAGGATCACCAAACAATACAATAAAAGGAAAGCAAAGCCTTATAAAGAACTATTGCAACCACCCTCTCTAAGGAAGCTGCACAGTGTTGGATTCTTCATCTTCGGTTTAGATACACTTGACTATGCATGAACTGTGTCATCCTGTCTGGCAAGTCTCCGATGTAGCCCAAGATCCTGGCACTAAAGATGGCAAATAGATGTCACCCTGCTTATTGTTCTCTGTGAGATGACTTTAAAGCTGAACTCCTGAGGAAGAAAAATAAATCCACTTTTGTGCACCAAATGCCATTGCAGATCCAGTTATTAATTTGCAAACATTGCAGTGAGATCATCACTCTACTGTAGATATCCTGTGCAGAGAGCTGAGGCGGGGCCCCGCAGGCTCCACCCACTACAGGCTGCCTGCAGAAAACTAAGTGAGGGGGCGGATACAAGACCAGTCACTCTGCACAAGGAAAGAGAGAGGAGCAGTGATTGGTCTTTATCACAGAAGCAAAGTATTACACTGGAAGAAATACACAAAGCATATTTTGTGGCCATAATGTGATATTACACAAAAAATAATTTTGAAAATGCATTCCCTTTTTAAAGGAGCCACTAAAGAACCTTCGTTTGGCATGTATCCGCACAGAACAAGCGTTCACAGAATGAATGGCCATGTAAATAGATTATCAATAGACCTCTAATGTGCACTCTGAAAATTCACTTACCTTACATTTTATAAGATTACATTTTTTTCCCTATGTATGAAGAGATCCGAGACGGACTTTTGGTGTGGCCCACTTTCCCTGTACAATCACAGAAGAACTGCTCAGAATCTAGCCGCTGATCTCTTCCTTTCTCATCATTAACTCTTTTCTTGTCTTTGCAGCTAATGCTGATATTCTGAAAGCCATGGTTGCAGACAACTCTGTGGTGGGAGATAACAGCGTGTTTGACCCAGAGACGTAAGTCTAACATTATGACACAGCCCAATATGCTTCTTATAGTAAAATGTGTTTATACCCTCCTGCATTTTTTTTGTATGTGCTTTTCTAGTACTAGGGTTCAGTTCTCTATGACTTCATTATTATTAATAATAATATCAGTTATTTCTAGAGGGCCAGGGGTGTATCTGCCGCGAGGCAAACAAGGCGTTTGCCTGGAGCGGCAGATTCCCTGAGAGCGGCGTTGCTGTGGCTCTCTCCCCTTGATAAATTTTATTTATCAGGGGAAGTGAACCGGAGGCTATAGTAGCGCCGGGGACGAGGGCGGCCGGCGGGGACGAGGACGGCGTGCTGCGGTGGTGTCCAGAAGGCAGCGGACGGCGG